TTCCAAACCTGCTCCACAGCTCCCTGTTCAATCTTCTTTCATATGTAGCCTATCGGCACAGCAAATCTGCTGTGGGGAGAAGTCCCCTCCAACCCAAACCTCCTTCAGACGGATGGGAGAAAAGATAGGATAGCAGCTGAGAAAGAGCTACAAGTTAACAAGTCTTTCAAAACAGGGCTGAAGGATTTGCATTTGGTTGGTTTAGTGGGTTTTTTTGACAGAACATTTAAAGCAATAGTTTCTCTCAGGAACCCATCAGCCAGAAAACAGGATGAGTCCCTAGTCCCAGTCTTGCATCCTCATGAGATTGTCACATTTACACCTGTGAAGTGATCCTTCTGCCTTATCCACCACTAAAAAAAAATAAATAACTTGGTTTGGTTTTCAGAAAAGCACACATTCTTTGTTGTCTCCGTGGTTATGAAATGCAATATGGATGGAATATCATTAATATGAACAAAAGCATAACACCTGAACACTGCCTCTTTAAGGTTTCCGTAATTTTGTTTGTCCACCTAGAAAAATCCGAAGCAGCCTTGCTGCCAGGGAAAGAAACTAACTGAAGTTCCTCCTCTGAGTTTCTGAAGACCTGGTCATTTTTCACTCAGGCTGGCTGATTTACATACTCCTTTCATAAAGGTATTGCAAAGGACCCTTTGATAAGGATGTGCTCCATCTGCACAGCTCTAGGAACAGGTTATGGGGATGAACTACGAGACTTGTTATAGGCTGCAAGAATCATCAAGACAGCATTGTTCAGTCTTTGGGAAATTACATGCCTGGTGCAAATCATGCTGATTCTCTGCAAATAACCTGGATTGTTAACTTTGAGGCAGGAGAACTGGGTCCCTGTGCAGCTCATTTGTAAGACTGACCTGATGCTATGAATACAGATACCGCTCTGTACAATATCTGTTTCTTCTTGCTCCAGAAGTAGCACAGACAGTGTAAAAAGGAGATTCATATAAACTACACAGATTCTTCTGGCTTTTGCAAGAGAAAAGGTGACCCAATGAACCACGAAATTTACTGATGCTTGCGGAAAAAATAAAACATCCTATATATTACCTATGACACTCATTTATAAATACTTGATTACAAGTAGATGTTTACAATCATGTCTGAAGAAAGATTTTTGTACTTAGTCTAGTCCCTGTCATGCTGAATGAAATCACTTGTATACAGAGCAAAAGCAAGAAGTTCCATATATCTGTATGAAACAGTTTTCATGAGAATGGGTGCTGTAAAAGGGATGGACATGAGAAGGATTCAGCCATATCTCATTCCCAAGTGGACCTTTTGTTCCTTTACTGTTTTACAAGCCCATTCTTCATTTCATCATCGGTGAATGAAATCCCTTGTATACAGAGCAAAAGCAAGAAGTTTCATATATCTGTATAGAAACAGTTTTCATGAGAATGGGTGCTGTAAAAGGGATGGACATGAGAAGGATTCAGCCATATCTCATTCCCAAGTGGACCTTTTGTTCCTTTACTGTTTTACAAGCCCATTCTTCATTTCATCATCGGTGATGTAATAAGGACAAGAGGTTAGTGAGGGACTCCTTTCCAGCACTGAACGCAGCAAGTCTGAGATTCACATAATTTTTTCAAAGCAAGAACAGGATTCCTACTGAGAGTGACTCAGAGACCTCTTTTATTGTTGAGAAAGGAGAAAAAGCAAAGCTGACTTTTACCCTCCTTGCTCACAATAAGCCCCCCAAGGGTCACAGCTAGGCTGCCTAACAAAAGGGATGCTAACTACCTAGGAAGGTTCACAGGGTACCTGAACTCTTTTTCAGGCTCATCCTTTCTCTGCTGCATCCCAAGGACTATGACAGCCCATTAGCACTCAAGAACAGAGAGACAGAGAGCTCACATGTATGACTGAACTCAACTAACCCAAACTCTCGTGCAAGTTAATTCCACACTACCCCAAACCCTTATTGTCTAAACTACCCTGCAACTACCATTGCAACTCCTGTTCTCTGCAGCTTTCAAGGCAAGTGAGTATGGCACACCAGCAAGTTTTTGCTATATGAACTAACTTTCCATCTGAGCACAGTTTGATGTCAAGAGGACTAATGACATGGTCTGATGGAAAACAAAACAGACAACAGTAAATGGCCAAATGTTTCAGATTAGCATCAGATCTTGAAAAGAGTGAAGAAGAAAATTAACCTGGAACTACTCACTGCTTAGAAAAATCTAAAGGAAGAGCCTATTTACTGATTTTCGTCATGACATAGTTCTTGTACCAGATATGATTCTAGAAGTAATGTGATGCTTAGCACATGTGCACCAGCAAGAAGTTGAGATGTACAAGTTCAACATTCCATGCAAAAGTAAGTGGAAAGGAAACAGAACTACTGAATATGGTGGCGTGGAGCAAGTGGAGGGAACATACAATTAATGTAAGAGCAATATAGAAATAAAATCTGTATAAAAAAGATCAAGGTTAAACTGTGCAAGTCAAAAAGTTTCCTTTTTGCTCTTCCTTCTCTTTTAATCATCTTGTTTCACATATCTGACTACATAACTCACTCTTGGTCATCACATGAAGGTGGCATAAATAATTCTTGTTTTTGCAGGCAAATGGCACTACAAAGTTGAACGCTTGTCCATGCTGGTTTTGTGAATCCATAGGGGAACAAGTCCTGGACCATCAGGGAACGTTCTGACCCTTTGTTCAGAACAGTGGGTAACCCCATTACCTTGTACACTATTTCAGAAATGTGAAGAAGCAAAACTAGCGCCTTACAGGACCAGTGAGCCAGCTCACTGCTGCAAGACAGAACAGCAGGAAGTCATCATTGAAAAAGTGTTGGTTCCTTATCCCAGCTTTGTATTTCCCTCCCCTATCAGCCTTTCTTCAAGGGCAGGAGATAGATATTTGAAAAGGGGAAATCAAAGATAACAATAGAATTTGATTTTGAGAACTGACTTAGAAACAGCTCTCACTTATCAAGCATACAGACAAGGCAATACTCCAACGAAAACAAAGTAACTGTATGATAATGGCAATAAAAACTCTGCTAGTATCTAGAATTCTGCTTTGGATGTTGATAGCTGCTAGGAAAATTCAACTTTTATATTCCACGTTATCTTATATAAGAGTTCACCTTTTACTACAGAAAATATTCTCTGCAAAAGCCATTCAAGCCACCACAAGAAACAGGCATAGAACTACTAAATTGAAGTTGGAGCATGACAAGTAAAAGGTCTGAATGGCTGCAGAATACAGGAGAAAGGTATTACTTAAAAATCAACTTGGAAAGAATACAAGCCCCTGCATGCTCAAACAGCCCTCTTATCACCCAAGGAAGCACAACAATACTGCTAGACAAGCCTCTGCTCAGCAGCTGGGAGGAGAGCCATGTCAGAAAAGGCACATCATGCACACAGTCAGTAACTGTCACCCAAAAACAGCCTTTGTACTTTGCAAGAGAGGCAGCGTATGGAGGGTCCCAGCTTAGGCGCTGAAGGTGTCTGTGCCTCTAGACCACGTGTGGCATACCATACCGTCTCCTACACAAACTGTTAGCGGTGCAGTAGTGGGCAGAGGACAACGCTGCCAAGTTGGCTCAGGAAGTATCAGCACTTGGATGCAGGCTGTAAGCTCAGGTTACAGAAGTACTGTGTATTAAATCAAGACTTTCACTCCTTCATTTCGCCTCATCACATCAGAACTCCAAGCACTTAGAAAGTAAACACAATCTGAAGTATCTTACACACAATGAGGGAATCATTTTATTAGATTATGGAAGACAGCAGCATTACAGTACAAAAAAGTTACAAGAGTAGCAGAAAAAAAGTGTTTTTGGTTTAAATACTCAGGATTATACTGGGGAACATGAGAAGGATAGTACCCTTTTCTAAACTAACTCCTAACCAGGTTATCAAAATAAGTTTTGAATATTTAGCACAAGTAAAAAAGTTACAACAAACATCATTATAAAATGCTTTAATAAATAGTTTCTTTTCTGAAAAGTTTTTATTTTTTTTTAAGAACATGTCAAACAAAAATGTACTAAAACAGAAGAACCTGCAAAGCAAATCCTGTGTTCCTGTATAAAATAACTGGTTTCAAAACATTCATGTTTACATTTTTCTTGGGCCAGAGTTTACACTCTCAAACATCCGCTCCTCTCACTGGTAGGGTAACTAGGTGTATGTAGTGTTATGCTTCTTCAGTAATTAAAATAAACTTTAGTTTGCCCAGTTAATAGCAATAATAAAGCCTTAAAAAAAAACAAACCAAAAACGCATTAGCCTTCCGTTACAAATAACCATTTCTAATGAGGTACTCCCATCTTCTGAGCTTGCCAGCCTTTTTTCTTTAGAGCGAAAGACGAATAAAGCACAACAGAAACAAGATTGAGGAAAATATTGTTCCCTTCATTAGGCCTGTATTTAAATGCAAAAAAGTAATACCACATGTAATAAACATATTCACAAAAGAAAAAAACAATGCCTCGCTATGTTGGTACTGTACAGTAGATGCACCCGTTAGTGTTCTTGAGATGGGCTGAACATGAGGATAAACAAACATTTCTGGATCTATTTACATGTAAGTGGTTATGTTCCTATGCAAATACAAATGACCAACAGATTCCTAACATTGATTGTATTAACATAACTTTCTAATCTGGACATAATACCAAAAAAAGTCTTATAAACTGCCATAAAACCTCCTTTTCTGCAACATAAATTAAAAGGAATGACATGTAAAAAAAAAAGACCAAAATATTTAAGTTATTAAATCAAATATACAGAGTGATTCATTTAATATATACATATTTACAAAAAAAGCACTTTCACTATTAGAAAATAAATTGTGTCAGTTGGGGAACCTAGAGTTCTCACAATTTTACTATATTGATATGGCAGTCTTTGACAGTTGCTATAGAAAAAGTTTAATCTCAAGGCACTTGTCACATGCTTCAATACTGCAATTCTAAAGTAATTAAACAGAAATAAAAAGGCCACTTTTAAACCACAGTTGAAAGATCTCTATAATTTTTTTCTGTTCCTATTACAAAGTGTGTAAGGCAAATTTGGAAAAAAATCTTACAGAAGCTACTAACGTAACAAGTGCGGTGCGCTGCCATTAATAGAGATTCAAAGTCAAGAAAGCAGTTTACAGTTCACACAACGTCCTCAACCAGGAGGTTTTAAAGCCACCATTAAATTAGAGCAAGTAATAAAAAGAAATACATTCTGTAAACAGTGTACAGTCTTTTGTAATAAACTTTACACATATTGAAAATACAACCTCTCCTCTGCCACACAGCGAGTGTATTATAAGTAAACTTTACAAAAATAGCAACTATCAAAGATTACTCATTTTTTTTTCATCTGACAGTCATTGAATAATTTATACAAGGCTAAAGAAACAAAATAAATTTTATTTATTATTATTTTTATTTATTTTTTTTTTTACGCAAAATAAAGAAACTATGAACATTTGACTCCAGATATTTTTAGTCCTTGATGCAAAGTGGAGATGTCAATTTTTCCCCTCCCCAGTAAGTGCAGGCACAGTCTGCCTACATTCCAAATACAGGTTAGTCTCTACTGCCTTCAAAGTTTGATGCATTCACATTTTTTACACATCTGTTGTCCATTTTGCCTATTTGATGGGATTTCTTTACTGGACTGCTCTCTGATGTGTCAGATGCCTTTGTTGGCAAAGGCTTTGCGAGTTTGTGAGAGAGGAATTTGTCCATTTCCTCATCTCTTTCCTCCTCTTCATCCTCCTCTTCCTCATACTCTACATACTCCTCTACTGCATCACAAGTTCTTTTTTGAGGAGATATGAAGTTTTTGCATTCATAACGAATGTCTTTGTTACTGTAAGATCTGTCTATAGGATTTCTTATGGGATTTAAAGGTGCCCACTGGTTATTGGCACCCTCTTCTCTGGGAGGACGACTTCTCTCCCTCTCTTTTCTTCTCTTCCGAGTCCACCACACGCAGATGATTATGCAAGTCAGCCATACAATGCTAAATACCGCACAAAGAATTGGAACCAAATAATCTAGAGGGCAAATGAAAAAAAGTCTTGAGTTAACAGAACTAGATACATATAGCACTGGACATCTGCAAAAGAACCATCCATACATAACTATAGGTTAGCCCTAGAAAGATTTTTAGGAGAAAGGAAATAAGATGTCATTACAGCACAATGATAGCTGTCTGAATGCCCTAGTCAATCTAGAAATACTCTTTATTAGTTTAAACTGAGTTTTCCCTGATTAATGATGGGGGGAGGAGGAGGAAATGCTACAGCTGAGATTTTTTTTTTTCCCCCTCCAACAAACTGGTTATATAAGCAGCATCTCTTTCTCTAGCACCTAAGCTAAGTTGGCTCAGAGAACCTCACTAATGACTCTTAAAGAGAAAAATCTGTCCTTGTAGGAGGCAGGCCATAAAAAGTACTATCCTTCTAAGTTGTTCTACAAGAAGTACTGGCACTTGCATCAGAAATGTGTCCTGCATTTACTATTAGAAAGAAGAGTCCTTTACCATCAAGTCCACAGACATTTATGTATCAACTCTCTCAAAAAGCATTCAGGTTAGAGCTATGTAACCAAATCAATCGTGCACTCTAAGATGTTCCAGTTTTACTTCAGAGTACAGAATTAAAAAAAAAAAGTTGAGGAAATTGCTTCTCTCCACATTCCCAATCACAAACCCCACTAGTGCTCTCCCAGCAACATAAGACCTAAATATTCCTCTGGGAAAGAATTCCTGAAAATTGATGCATGTTTAAACTTTTTTTTTTTTTTCTTCTCATCAAGGGCTTTACTGCTAGGACAGAATAACATTTTTGTATTCTTGATAAGCAAGAATTCACATATGGTAAGAGGCAGTAAGACATGAGGTGGTTTGCTTTTGTGGAGACAGGATTGTTCAAAAGCTCTGCAGATAAATGCTGTCAACATACCACTCTAACCTCCAATCCAAATGGAAATGCCCTCCACAGTCTTAAGACAACTCCTTAGAAAATAACCTGCAAATGGCTGTACAAAACCAGCCATCTGCTTCAACACCATAGTCATTCATTCTAACTTGAAGCATCTTCTAAACATATTCTTAGGTGGATGATGACACACTCTCAAACATTCATTTCTGGTAAAGGAGGATAAACAAACTGTGAACATGGTTGGCCTCAAGGGGTCTAAAAACTGTATTTTAGCAGTTGTGGTAAGGATCATACTCTCAGAAGTAACTGCTATTCTCTCTCATTTTTCATAAGCAATTTAATACTAAACCATGAATGGGAGGGGAGAGGGAGGCTAATACTTCAAGGAAAGAGGAGCTCTTCACACCAGCATCTCTGAGATTAGAATATAAAGCTTGCATTCTCATGGCTATCACATCCATCACTTAAGTCATGTGACTGTGGATCCAAGTTTACTTACTAAAGTACAGAGAGCTGTGTGTATATAGATGCCAAAAAAAGAGTAGTTTTTCTTAAAGTTGGAGGAAATTAATGAAGTGTCTAAACAATCATCTCCATCTAGACACCTGAGCATCCCACAGAAATGAGATTCTCAATACAGACAGGGCTTCACACCACATTTTCTGATAGGTTTCTACCTACCTCACCCAATTAAGGAGTAACAATAACACAAACCAAATCAAAGACCATGAGAGTCCAGGTTACAGTTTACTTCTTCAGAATAACTCCACTTAAAGAACTAGGGGCCAGTGGTCAATATTGAGCATCCATATTAAAATGAGGAGTCTAGACACCATTCTTTAGCACTAGCTCCAAAAGAAGACAAACTCTATCCACATTCTTAGAGAATCTTTCAATCTTCTTGAAGTGGGATGCAAGGTAATCCCCCGTCCCTTTTACCCTAGCATTCAACACACAATCAGAAGAAAGAGAGGCTGAGGTATGTCAGAATCTCACCTCAATTCTTTATCATCTATGCAATTTCTGTTCAAGACAAGAACAAAGCTGGTACAGTCCTCCAAGGGAACTGAGGAAGCAGTACATTTGCAAGGCTTTAACAGATGAAAGGCATTCCTTAGAAGGAAAATGCAACGGAAGTGGAACCAGGCAATTTACTAATTGTCTGGACTATGGGTAGAAGATCTTCCAGAAGACTATGTTGGGGAGGTCTAGCAAAAAGTTGGAAGAATCTCCTACCATTATAAGATTTCCAGTGTGGCTTAGCTGAACTGGAGCCTACCAAAGGTCTTCCACAAGACCTTCTCCTGCCTCAGGGAAGCAGGAACAAAAGCATGCAAAACCTTCAACTGCTTATTTTGGCACAGCTCTTGGAGAACAAATATTCAGAAATGAAGGTCTCTCCAATTGCACCTCATCCTCATCAAGAGGAATGAGCATTACTTTTTAAGCCAGTTGTGTGCTAGTGAGCAAAGTCTTGGATTATCATGGCCAAGTACTGAAAGATACTAAGTATCTTTAACTCTTGTTAAGGTAAATACATAAGCACTTCAGAAGAGAGTTACAATCACACTACGCATCTTTCCCCTCCCCATATTTTCATTACCTCACCAGCCTCAGTTTCTGTAGTGCAGTAGCATCAAAGACTGAGGTTGCATTAAGGTTAATGCAGGAGAATAGGAAAGGATTTGAACAGCACAGGAGAAGAACTCCTGATCTTGTGAAATGTGTACTTAGGCTGGAGAACGGAGTTGGAAGTCAGAGCGAAAACAGTGGCAAGGGTAGATGGGGATGTGACGCTAGGGATGAGGTTAAGTTTAAACTAGCACACAAGCACAGAATCTTAATTTTAAAACCACTTTCCCTTCAGTTAGTAATAGTAAGTAAAGAAACAACTCTATAATTTTCTTCAACATGTAAAGAAAAATAGAAAAGACTGACAGCAGGGGAACATAAAATGCTTACACACACACAGAGGATATATGCATTGGGAACCTTACCTGATGATGAATTGCCAACAACTATGGTCTCTACTTTGACTTCAGTTACTGCCAACATAACAGTGCTGTTTTGCCGCTTAGTGATTGCATTTACTATTGTATTAGCAGCATTCTGGATAAGACTGTTATCTTGTTCATCTCGATGAGGGACAAAAGACTAAAGGGAGCGAAGGGGAAAACCAAAAAGTTATTGCAATCACCTAACTGTGGAAATCTACTTTTTAAATCCAGCTATATCTTAATTGAGTTCACTAGGGTGGATTTCCTGACAGTAGTTATAAACAGTACCCTAAAAGTTTCCTGTAGCAATAGCATGGCTGGCTCTAGGCAAACTGTAGATGCAGACTTGGCGGGCAGCACACCTACTTGTTAATCTAGCATACCTCAAATAAAAGGCAGCTGACTTCCATGTTAGTTACACTGCTGAGCTAAACTTAGTCATAGTGTAGAGCACTTCAAGACGTGGATTATCTAGATAGAAGCTTGGACTAAACAGTCTGCTCTATTTATACCATACACTTTGCTTCTTACATCATGGCTCAGCATGTTCTTTACAGTACTAGTAGATTCAGACAGTTCAGCTTCTGCCTGGATAACCACTTTACTATGAAAATTAACTCTTTATGTGGAGACTAAGCAATATGCAAGCATCAAGTGATTGAGCTGCAAACGCCTCTAAATAGAGTCTTTAGCTCAGTAGAGCAAGTTACTTTATTCTACTCAACTTTCACCTTCTTCTACTTCCCATATAGAATTTATGTATTTAATGAACATCCTGAAACAGCCACAATCTGAACGCAGAGCAGAAACTTCTTTCCATCAACAAGACCCAATCCAGCCACCCACAACCCACTCCTTACTGAGGAGAGCAATAGCCCAAGACTTCTGAAAGAACAGGTAGGCACCTGTTCACTAATTTGGGACGAATTAGTCTTTGGAGTAATTCATCAGGAGATTGTGGTAGCCTTCTACCATTAATGAAACCTGCAGTTTCAGCTACCTACCATCATAGGAAATTGAGACCACAAAATCACTCTGCAGTCAGACTAAACCAGAGATTGCAGTACCTGCATTGCAGTGAAACAAGCTTAAACACCCTCTTCCCCAGCTCAAACTAACAAGAAAACATTTAGATATACATTAATACAAGTCTCATACTTACAATAGCAACTTCCACCGCATTCTCTGTGGAGTAAGATAGATCACATAAAATTATCAGAGTTCTGTCCCTAGAAACAGTCCTAGTAGCTGGTAAATACCGAATTTCAGAACAGATATTTTCAGTTGTAGTCCCCTGTTAGAAGCAAGGGAGATTGTGTGACTTTAGTTCAAGTAAAAAATAGTACATAGAAATAAACATCTTCAGAGCTTTTGCAGTTACTGAGACCTGATGAAGGTGGCAAAAGAAGGCAGCAAGAAAGGGCAGAAAAGTGAAGAATGGGGTTTTGGAATGAAGGGTGAGAAACTGAGCATGCATGACTATCCTAGTACTGTCTGAGCCCATCTTGAAATGTAACAAAATTTAGTTCTTTGAGACTTAAAGAAAACAAAATATTCAGTACAAACCCTAATTCTGCCTCTCCCTTTAGACATAGCACAATTAATATCAACAGAAGAGTCTAATAACAAATGTTGCAAGCTTATGACAGCAAGGAGTCATACTAGAAACATGAATCTTCCACACTCCGACATGGAATATATCCCTACATATATTGCCATACTTCATTAATAATTCTGTTCTCACCTGGGGGACTTTGTCTCCATTAAAAATTAAAGTAATTCTAGCACAGTCATTGTCCAAGTATCCAGAATTAGGCAGACATTTGATATTGAGAGGCAGAGGTTCAGAGGCACTGCATTCTCCCCAGTCCGTGCATGGTGGCTGAAAACATTTCATATAGTTCTCCTGGCATTCTTGACCCATAGGACACTGATTATTTGAATTATCCCAGTGTTTGTGTAACAGACAAGGCTTTTTCCCACACCACACCTAGAAATTTTAAAAAAAGTACTGTTACAGTTAATTGCTCTTAAGCATCAAATCAAACCAAGCAATTCATAGAAGATGGTCGTGATCTACTACTGACCACAAAAAATACATAGTTTGATACTGCTGTGGTCCTAGTAGTACATGGAGTAATTCTTCCACAAAGCAAGAACATTTTGTATGGACAAGAGTAAAAACTGTGCAAAGATTACCCGAGACAGCAGTAACTGGGCATATCTTCTTAGAGACTTACAGGTTTGTCCCAGATAACTAAGTTACACAGAAGTTCAAGCATTTATTTTTAAACTAGTCACCTAGGTTTCTATAATCTAGAAAGATAAACACCTTCACAAGGATTAATTTCTATTTCTCTTCAATATTTATACTGAGATCCTTGCCACAGAACGCTGAAGATGTTAAGAGCTGATGCACGTTGGTGATAAGCAGTGTCATTTCAACCATTCTCCCAAAAGAAAACAGTATGCTGGTACCCCCAAGTGCAGCAAGCTTACAAACACATCTCCATTTCATAATGCACCCTTTAAGATTCTATATACTACTATACAGCTATCAGTTTAGGAACTTATGGGTTTCTTAAAGCACAGTTGTCAGCAAGAAAGTGTATTTGTTCCACTATGCATGAAGGAGCCAAACACCATATATGGCTAAATTGCATTTACCACACCATTTCTGAGATTCTAGTTACCTACAAGCACTGTTATCTTCTGAAGACATCTCACACTTGAAATCAGAACACCTTAAAGGGTCTAAGAGAGCATTTCTAAATGATTAAGTGCAAGATTTAGTATTTCTTTGCCTACATAGTGCATACCCAGCTAAACAAAGTAAGATTAAGGCTAGATAGATTAACCCAGAGATTTTTAAAACTGGTGCTTCCAGTGAAATGTGGGAGACCCCTGTGTGAGGCAATTTTTTTAAGTACTACTAGCACTCATCTGGAACCACCCACCTAGCCCTACAGCTTGTAAGCAGCACTGATCTTGTCTGTCTTGATGTAAACCTGCACAGGAACCACAAATTCACTGAGGAATGCTATCTCAGGAGGGCTGAAAGGCTTGGAGCACCTACAATAACATGTTCAATCTGCATTTAGACTAGTCCTATTTTTTCTAAGTCACAACCACCAGGCTATAGTCTGTAACAAACACACAAAGGCTGTAATTTGCAAATTCATAAACCTACTGAAGGACAATACAAAAAGATGATTACTACCCACTGAAGAAACTTTTTTTCCTACACATCCTTTACCTTGGAACTAATGTTTCACAAAATTAGGAGCTCTAAAACTATGTTTGCAAAACTTTGGCAGAGTGATTTACTTATTCTTTCAAGGATCCAGTTCATATTTCCTTTTCTGCAAAAAGTGCCTGTCTGCTTCTAGAGAGCTTGTTCTAGCAGGTAGACAGCAGGACAGTATCTTATTATTATAAAGACAAGACAGTATCTTATTATTATAAAGACAATCCCATAAGTATTTTTAGAGGAAGTGGTTAGATACTTTTTTCACCTTTTTTTTTTTTTTTTTTTTTAAACAGCAGCAGTTTGGGGAAGACCTATGCAAGAGTCTAGATGGAAAAAAACAAAGATTAACTTATGTATGAAGAACAATAAGTTTGTGTCAGCCAGAAGGACTTAAGAAAATAGGTCAAAATGCCTACCTTGGTGCAGTCAATATGGCCATCCAAACAGTGGCAGTTGTTACATTCTTGATCCCACCTGCTGCCATGGGGAAAGGTTATTCCTTTAAGCCAACACGGCTTTCCAATTCCAATCACTAAGGAAAAAAAAAAAGCACACTCAGATTCTTCACCTCTTCGACACTGAAGCTATACCAATTTAGATCAAAAACTATCAGCTACTGCTCCTTACGCATCAGACCACTGTATATAAACTCTATACCGGCTATGTTGTATCCTACTGTTTTTTAGGTAAAGGTGGACAGCAGATATAGGAATACCTTCTTGGCACCTTGGACCAATTCTTCCAGGTGGACAATTGCATCGATATCCGTTTATTTCATCTATACAAGTGGCACCATATCCACATGGGGAAGACTGGCATTCATCAATATCTAGATAGAAAAATAGGTAAAAGTCAATATCAGGAACACAGAACATTGTAATTAAACATTTGTGAGATGTAATCTGAAAACACCTGCTTTTCTAACAAGCGAAGGGCAGTTCAGCTTCAGGATTAACCTCCTAATTGGACAGTTCTACCATTGCGGCAGTAACCTTTAATGGTTTTCTCATAATTGCACCCTAATTTAAATTCTGGTGGATCAAAGAAGCAGTCATACGTTGGCTCATCTCACAGAGCAGAGGCACTGGACAGCTGAAGGTGCTAATGTCTTCTCCGCATTCAGCTACAGAACTGAAGTCCCACATCCTTTTCTGGCACTAATCTCTGACATTTAGGCTTCCTAGAAAAGCACACGCTTTTCAGGAAGTTACCACAGCGCAAGAACTGAACAATGAATGGGCTCAACAGCGGTCAAGACTTACTGCAATACAATTCACCATAAGGAAGAAGGGTAGTAGTTTAGTTTGTAACAGACATTTGATGTAACTTTTCTTAATAACCTTGAAATAGCACGTAGATTAATTTAGTACATACACATTTAGCACAAAAGCCTCTTAAAACCGAAAAAACAACCTTCACAAATTCAGAGGCTTAGCCATAGAAATCTTCTGAAAAAGGCAGGGAAGCACAGTCCACTCAGATGCACAGTAATGTGTTATTTGTTATCCTGGGGAAGTGACAAGTTCTTGAACTGATGTCAGTCACAACTGATGTTGTGAAAACAGCAGTTCTTAACTGATGCACAGTATCAGCTCATCTTCTGTGTTTAAAGGACTTGACTTAAAGTTAATGTGATAAATGGTAGCAGTGAGACTGTTATCCATGTAGGCAATAGAAAATACCAAGTGGATGTGGGAGGTCTTTTGGTTCTACTCTAGCTTCCTTCAGAAGTACTCTAAGATGAAGTCTATGCAAATACAGAAGCATCTACTACTACAGGGTTTAACTACTCTTTCCTCATCTCTTCAAGCCATATTGGTTTAAGATTCTCCAACCTCTGTATGCTGGAAAAAAGTGACTGTTACACTCTATTTCTGTTATCAGCACCAGAGCTGAATTTTTGTCAGTTACTCCCTTTGTCTATGCCAGTCTAAATAAGGAAAAAAAAAAGTCAGCATTTCCACTACAAATGCACAGTATCTGGCTTTGACTTACAAATAGTCCTCTCTGCATTTCTTGTCTGGAAAAGGAGAATTCAATACCCCTCATGGAGTGTCGGGATCTAGATATACAATTATCTGCCATCCCTGGTTTTATATCCAGAGATCACAAAGCTGATGCTACCGCAAGTGCTATAGTCACTCCTTGACTAGAGGTGTTGGCTCATTTACTATCTGCCAGAATCAAGTTGAAAGAACACCACCATACTGATGGAGTGGAAGGACCAAGCCCAACAGCGTTGAGGCTCTAGAAGACTCAAAGTCTGATCTTCCAAAGAGGGATAAGTAAAAATAAGGCATCTACCACATTCAAGTCAAAATAGTAACATTCCACTAAAAAAAAAAAAAAAAAGGACTCTTCCACAGAAGTCTTAGGGTCTTTTCTGGAGGAGAGAAACTGAAAAGGGGGAAGAACAACTGCAGTGCAACAGGTTTGTTTTATAGCTTTGAAAGACCTTTATCATACTTCTCTATGTTATTCACTTGCCAGTACTATGTTCCTGGTGTTTGTTTTCATTTGTGATGTCTCAGTGGATTTCAGTTTCTAGTATTAAACACTTAGTGGTATCTGTCATCTTTAACAAGTTGCTTATCAAGAAAAATACTCAAGTTTCTATGAAGCCAGCACCCCAGAACCTTCATAAACGTCTGAAAAAATCCAACCACCAAGTCTTTGAGTATAGTTTAAGCCAGCTCCTTTCAGTTACATTTAATGAAGAGACAAACATAAGTTACCATTATTTACAAGGAATCAGTACCTGGCTGACTGACAGGTGGCTTCTGCTTCATTATTTGGAATTCAGCTAACCTAACGCAAAAAGGGTCACAAGGTATTCTTTCCAATTTCTGTGTCACAATGGTATAGCCTTTCAGGTCTTTACCTATACAGGTACTTACTAATTCTGCAGTCAGGACCAGCAAACCCAGGCGCACATTCACATCGAAACCAATTCACACCATCAACACAGATGCCTCCATTGTAACTGTAAAAATAAGAAATCTATCATTACACCCAGCGTTCTCAGGATAGATTCACTAATCTAAAGATGAGCAAAAAACATAGGTCTCATGCAGCGAGTTCAAATGCAAGTTTCTAGTATGCCTATTTATGGTATTTTCTCAATATTCAATAATGAAGAATTAAAAAGTCCCTGCTAATTAATAATACAAGTCTATGTACAAAGCTATCTACATTGTTTCATTAGTCTCTAATTAAAGCTTTGTTAAACATTCTGCTGCTTTTTAGAGGGGTGATCTATTCCCATCAACAGGGAAAGCACATAGTTAGATAAACAATATTGCTTAGTAGGTCACCTATTAAAATAGCAACTTTCCTAGGAAGTGCATGCTTGTGTGGGGAAGTATATCAACAGAACTCAAGGGGGGATAAAGCAGCACTGTAAAGCAAATACAGAGAAAGCCCCAGCTTCGGCATCCACAACTTCTCTGGGCAAACTGTTCCAGCACCTCACCACCCTCACAGTAAACAATTTATTCCTCGTATCTAATCTAAATCTACCCTCTTTCAGCTTAAAACTGTTACCCCTTGTCCTATCGCTACACTCCCTGATCAAGAGTGCCTCCCCATCTCTCCTGCAACCACCTCTAAGTACTGGGAGGCTGCTATAAGGTCTCCCCAAAGCCTTCTCTTCTCCAGGCTGAACACCCCCCACTGTCTCAGCCTGTCCTCATATGGGAGGTGCTCCAGCCCTCTGACCATCTTCGTGGCCCTCCTCTGGACCCGCTCCAACAGGTCCATAATTTTCCTGTGCTGAGGACTCCAGAGCTGGATGCAGCACTGCAGGTGGGATCTGCTGGTTGTGCTTCTTCTGATGCAGCCCAGGACACAGCTGGCTTTCTGGGCTGCCATCACACATTGCTGGGTCACATTCAGCTTCTCATCAACCAACACTCCCAAGTCTTTTTCCTCAGGGCTGCTCTCAATCCATTCACCACCCAGCCTCTATTTGTGCTTGAGATTGCCCCAACCTAGGTGCAGGACCTTGCACTTGGCCTTGCTGAACTTCATGACACTTGCACAGGCCTATTTTTTATTCTAAAACTCAATTATTGATGCTTGAAATGTTATCAAGTCTGATTCATTTCACATCACAGTAATTTACTATTCAGTTATGGCACAAAGGCTATACTAAAATAGTTTAATCTGTTAATCTAACAATCAGCTAAGGATTGTTTTGTGGTCTTTGTTGCTGTAAAGGAATAGATAAGTCACGGCAAAAAATTGTTTTAAGACTTTTACAGAGGCTGGCTTCAATTATTTTAGGGCAGATTTCGTTCTAAACTGGAATGGAAATCCATATATTGTGCTCACTTTTATTTTCACAATAGGTACAGAACTGGAGAAGTCTGCATACTTACCATGGGTGAGGGTTGCAGTCATTGGTATCTATAAAAAAGAATAGAGACCAGTGTAACTAGTGGCATATTTGTTTTCTAATGTATAATATTATAGTTCAAGAGACACTATATTTGGTAAGGAAAAAAAAATTAGCTTAGATATTTTTTCCCTTCTATGTTATGACTTGGAAAAAAAATCAAAATCAAAGTTGCAGGCTTTACTCCACCTAACCAGTTCACTGTATTGGTATGTCAAAGTAGTTAACTGCTATCCTCAGGAAATGACGGAATATATACTACTGCCTGCCCTTCCACATACTTTTCATTATTCAAATTAGTATTTCTGTGAGGATTTTTTTCTTTTGCTATGCACATGTTCCCAAAAACTATATTTCTATAGCAGCCTGCAAGTCTTGTTTGGCAGAGACTAGGTGCAAAAACAAGTATGACAAGTTCTTCATTCATTACTCAAGCATCATCTTCTTTACCTACCTCCCACCCCGATTCAGATATTTTGGCACATGAACTCTATAAACTTGCTTTGTTTCCGTTAACTGCTTTGTGCCAGACACTCTTAATTTCCCAGGGGAATGCAGGGAAAGAAAAGAGAAAAGCCTTACTCTGTGTGCATGTACGTCCTTCCCACCCATCTTTGCAGATGCAAGAAAAGGAATCTCCACTGCCAACGCATGTTCCACCATTCATGCAAGGGTTTGGCATACAGCTGCTGTTTTTAGCTTTGAAAACAGAAGATAGGTCTCTATTTAGCACAGAAAACAAAAAGTGTGCATCATCTGGATATGTCAGTATCATAATACTGAACAGCATTTAAATCAACAGTGCAAGACTTACAAGAAGGTTAAAAGGCTCCAAAAAATAGTCACATCACACAATCATCTCTCACCTACCATCACCATCATCCCAATTCATTTGGTTGATTGAACCATGAAGTTTTATAAAAAAAGATTATCTATTATTTCCCTATCTGTGTAAACATCCTTTCAAATACTACTTTGAATTCCTACTTTGTCAATGAGTTACCCAGGTCATGAGGTGTACTTCATAAAGAAATACTGGTAATTAAAATTCAGATTTTGATTAAGTGTCACAATTGTATCTAAAAAGTAGAAAAAAAATATGAAAAATTACCTTCATCCAACTTCTTGGTCCTAATGGAAGTTTTATATTCAGAAAAATGTTCCATGAAGACTACATTCAATCCCCAGAAAGATCAAGAGTAGTTCCCTACAGCAGGCAGTAACCTTGAAAATCCCCTACAAAGAACCACCTCATTTCGTTTTTCCCAAGTATGTTTGTGATCAAGAGGCATATGAGCAGACTTATTCACTTTATGAACCTTCAAGCAAAGAAGGGGAATAACTTCCCAAGAAAATCTTTACAGAGGGTCTCTAAAGACTAATAGAGAAGTCAAGACAAGTCCAAGTGTTCAAAATCTGCTTAGGAGAAGCCACATAAAAGACCATGCAAGCAGCTTCCTGAGAACAGCTTCCTAAAAATCAGCATCATGTGAGGTGAGTGCAAGAAATCACTCAACTTCAGTCACCAGCCAACTGCAACAGCTTTGAACTAGCCAGCTAGAAGAACAGCACCTATTTACTGAACAGTTAGGTATTACTTAAACATTTCTCTACCTCTTCTGGTTTTATGTGGAGATGATTTAAAAAGCTTACCAGTGTTGCAAGTACTTCCTATCCATTCTGGAGGACACAAACAGCGGAATGTATCTCCATCATCGTAGCATGTTCCACCATTGCTGCAAGTATTTGCATCACATTGGTATTCACCTATACATCAAAATAAAACTGTTTTAATTTCCATTGGTCCTGCTGA